AAGAATCCCTTGCAAAAAATATGGTAAAGTGGACATTCGCGCGCGCAAGAAGAAATCCTTCCAAAACCTTAGTTTTCGTAGCGATTTTAACATAAAAACATAAAAAAAACAATGGTTTTTTTTTTTCAAAAAAAACGTGTCAAAATTTCATCCCGCGCGCTCTTGCGGATTCGTAGGAAACCCAACACTTTTTAAACATTTCTGTCAAACGGGCTTTTGCGAGCAACTTTTTCGAACTTCTGCAACAACGGTTGCGCACCTGCCAGGGCCATCATCCCTGTCAAATAATACCATGCGGGACACATTCGTTTTTTCTTCGCGCGCGCACGCCGTCGTCGTCGGCCGCGGGGCCCTGAATAGTAGCCACGGTCGTCCGCATGCCACGAAGTGAAGTGTCCGAACGTCATAGGGCGGGAAGCTGGGTGTGGGTGGTGGCGAAGAGTCGTTTGGAAATTTGGTAGAGCTTGAACCGGCCCCCCCACAAAGTGGGGGTATTGCCCGCCTCCTATGAAAACCCTGGCACTGGTGAGAACGGAGTGTCCCCACGTGCTAGTAATTGTTGTTGTTGTTGTTGTTGTTGTCGCCGTCCCACCCGCGACCCGCCCCGCGACCCGCCCGCGACCCACCCCGCGACCCACCCGCGACCCACCCCGCGACCCACCCCGCGACCCACCCGCGACCCACCCGCGACCCACCCACGACCCACCCGCGACCCACCCCGCGACCCGCCCGCGACACCCCGAGACCCCCCCTCGGCGACCCACCCGCGACCCGCCGGCAACCCACCCGCGACCCACCCGCGACCCACCCCGCGACCCACACGCGACCCACAGCGGACCCACCCGCGACCCACCGCGACCCGCCCGCGACCCACCCGCGACCGGCCCCGCGACCCACCCACAATTTTTCGGCGCCTGCGGCGGGTTTTTTCTGCGTTCGTTCCAGGTGGAGAACCTGCGACCCACCCGCGACCCAAACCGCGCCCGCGACCCACCTGCGACCCACCGCGACCCACTGCGACCCACCCCGCGACCCACCCAAAATTTTCGGCGCCTTCGGCGGGTTTTTTTTTTGCATTCGTTCCAGGTGGGAAACCTGCGACCCACCCGCGACCCAAACCGCGTGCAGTGTACAGATCAATATGTTCGGCGCTTGCGGCAGGCTGTTTTCGAATTCCTCCCAGGTGGAGGTAGGGAACCCGCGACCCACCGGCGACCCAAATTACGTTCACTGAACAAAACAAAATTTGGGCGCCTGCGGCGGGTTTCTTTTTGATTCGTTCCACGTGGAGAACCTGCGACCCAAACCGCGTTCAGTGTACAAGTCAAAATTTGCGGCGCCTGCGGCGGGCTGTTTGCGAATTCCTCCCAGGTGGAAGTGGAGAGCCCGCGACCCACCCGCGACCCAAACTACGTTCATTGAACAAACCAAAACTTCGGCGCCTGCGGCGGCTTGTTTTTGCATTCGTTCCGGGTGGCCCACCAGCGATTCCCTTCGCGCTGAACTTGTAAGAGCAAGCAAATCGGCGCCTGCGGCGGGCTTGCTCGCATTGGCTTGGGACGACGACGACGACGAGTTCGAGTACGAGGACGAAGAGGAGGCCGACGACGAGGGCGAGCAGAAAAGGAGGGGGGGGCGGAGGGGGACGACGAGAAAGGAGGGAGGAGGAGGAAAAGGAGGAAGAGGAGGAGGAGGAGGAGGAGGACGAGGACGAGGAGGTGGAGGAGGAGGAGGAAGAGGAGGAGGGGGGGAGGGGGAGGGGAGGGGGAGGGGGAGGGGGAGGAGGAGGAGGAGGAGGAGGAGGAGGAGGAGGAGGAGGAGGAGGAGGAGGAGGAGGAGGAGGAGGAGGAGGAGGAGGAGGAGGAGGAGGAGGAGGAGGAGGAGGAGAAGGAGGAGGACGAGGAAGAGGAGGAGGAGGAGGAATAATAATAATAAGAAGAAACAGAAGACGAATAATAAGAAGACGAATAATAATACTGATACTAAGAAGAATAATAATCATAGTAAGAATAAACAGAAGAAGAAAAAAGAAGAGGAAGAGGAGGAGGGGGAAGAGGAGGAGGAGGAGGAGGAGGAGGAGGAGGAAAACGACGACGGCGACGGAAAGGAGGAAAGGGGAGGATCGGGGGGATGGGGGAGGAAAAGGAGGAGGAGGAGGAGGAGGAGGAGGGAAAGGAAAAGGAGGAAGAGGAGGAGGTGGAGAAGGCGGAGGAGGAAGAGGAGGGCGCCATCGACAGGGAAGGTGAGGGCCACGAGGTCCGCCGGCTCCACGCCCGCGTCGCCCGCGCCCGCCCCCTCACTCTTATCGGCAATTGCGGGGTGCTACGTATTACTCCCGTTTGCAAGGTGCGCCATTTTGCGTGAAACCACAGTCGCCCCAGAGCCTCGGCGACGGGGCCGCGGCGTGGGCGCGCGCCTGACAAACCGCGGCCCGTTGGCTCCAGGTTGACGCCCGCTGGGCGCGCGCGTGACAAACCGCGGCCCGTTGGCTCCAGGTTGACGCCCGCCCCCCTCTGCGCCCAAGGAAGTGCCTTCCGCGGATGCGGGGGAAGTGGGGGGCGGGGAGGGGGGCGGGGGCGAGGCCTGTCGCCAGCATGCTATGGTCGGGCGTCGCCTCGTCCGTGCAAGGGACGGCCACGGACGTATTAGTGCAGCCTCGCTTCCATTCCGCCGGGTTGCAACTTCTCGTGGCCACCAGCCCCGCCCAGCAACATCAGTAGCCTTGAGAATTGTTGTCGCCCTCTCCTTCGGCCAGCTGATCCTCCGCTGAAGGGCGGACTTTCGTCTGGAGTGGGAACGCGCGACAGAAACCGGGGCCCATCGGCTCAAGGACTCCGACATGCTGTGCGCTGGCGTCGGCGCGCCCGCCCCGGGCTGGACGGCTCCGGTACACAATGCAACAGGATACCCGCCGTTGCGGCCGCACACGGGAGAGCGCATGCTGCTTCGGAGAAGAGGAACGAGGAGAAGCCAGGAGGGAGCGCGGCGCCATTTTGCACGAGGGATCGGGGCCTAGGGTGCGCTTATCCATATTCCATATGTTTACAATGGGTCGTGGCTTCGGGAAAGGGGGGGAGGCACGCGGCCGATTGCAGCGAAAGGTGGGGTCCTTCTTAGGGCTGCGCGCAGCTGATTGCGAGTAGTTCGGGAGGGGGCCCTTCGCTGGAGTACAGAAGCCCTCGCAGGCAGCGTCTACTACGCCTCAGCGTTCCAAGGGCCACGGTGGCGGATTAGCCTACGGAGGGAAACTTGGGGCGGATAGCGCGTTGCAGCATCGGCGTTGTGTGCTGGGTTTGCTCTCGTCCTGCTCAGTTTCCCCTTACTCTTCCTTCTCCTTTTTTTTTTAGGGGGCGTTGGGGGGGGGAAGATGGGATAATGTGCGCGGGTGAGAAAATGGAGGGGGACATGAATCAGGTTGGAGGACGACGGAGCAGGAGAGAAAGGAGGAGGGGGAGGAGAGAGGTAGACCAGATACGATATCGATGTTGATGATGATGATGATGATGATGGTGATGATGTTGGTGCATATGATGATGGTGATGATGGTGATGTTGATGATGATGGTGGTGACGATGATGACAACGATGCTATTTATGATACAAATAATAATGGTGATGATGATGGTGATGGTGATGGGGATGCTGATGATGTTGATAATGATGATTACGATGCTGCTGATGTTGACGCTCATGACTTTGATGCTGATAAAGATGATGCTGATGATGATGATGATGATGATGATGATGATGACCATGCACATCATTTTGATGGTGGTGATGATCAAGATGACGATGGTACTGATGGCGAAGACGCACATGTTGACGATGATGGTGATGGCGATGGTGATGGTGACTGTAGTGATGATGATGATGATGGTGGTGGTGGTGATGATGATCATGCTGATGAGGATGATGGTACTGGTGATGGTGATGATGATGCTGATGATGATGCTGATGCTGATAATGTTGATTATGCTGCTGATGATGATGATGATGATGATTATGATGCTGATGCTGCTGCTGTTGCTGATAATGATGGGGTTTAGGATGCTGATGATGCTATTGACGATGATGCTGCTGATGATGCTGCTGATGCTGCTGATGCTGATGCTGATGCTGAAAACTGGTGATGGCGATGCTGATGCTGATGCTAATGCTGATGCCGATGCTAATGCTGGTGATTACGATGATGGTGATAAGGATGCTGTTGCTGATGTTGATGATGAGGAGGATGCTGACGATGATGATGTTGCTGACGATGATTCTGATTACGAGGCTGATGCTGATGATGATGCTGATGGTGATGATGCTGGTGATGATGATGGTACTGATGGAGATGACGATGATGCTGATGATGATGATGGTGAGGATGATGGAGGTGATGATGATGATACTGATCCTGGTGATGATGTTGATGATGATGATGGTGCTGATGATGATGATGATGATGATGATGATGATGATGGTGGTGATGATGATGATGATGATGATGATGATGATGATGATGATGATGATGATGATGATGATGATGACTGGTGATCACGACCAGGAGGAGGTGGAGATGTAAAACCACCAGGAGGAGGAGGAGTGGCAGGAGGAGGGCGAGGAAAAGGATGACAGGGAGGCGGAGGAGGAGGAGGAGGAGGAGGACGTGAGCGCATGCCCGCCATTCTCTCATATATACTCATTTCCGCTCTATTCTCCTGGAGGGCGGATGGAGTCGAGAGGAGGAGGAGAAGTAGGAGGAGGAGGAGGACGAGCAGGACGAGGAGGAGGAGGAGCAGGACGAGACAGAGGAAGAGCAAGACGGGGAGGGATGACGAGGTCGAGGAGGCCAGAGAAGGAGCATGAGGGAACAGGGGCGAGCAGGCGGCGACAGGAGGAACCACGCGCAGGAGGGATCGGGAGCCCCAGGACAGAGAGGATGTGGGCGGCGGCGCTCCCCCATGCCGCCGCGGGGTTTCCGCAGGCTCAGTTTGCTGGCCATCGTTCCGTCGGAGAATGGCGCAGGGCTGCGAGGCACAACGCCGGGCGGCCAGGACCCGAGGAGGGGGGGCCGCAATTGGGCGACCTGTGCTGGGAGCACGACCAGCTTACCTTTCGTTCTGCCTCGAGAGTGAAAGGGGCCGACATTGAAGCAGCGTGTCAGTTGTTGGGTTAATTGTGTGTATGGGGGCAGCGTGGCATGTAGGAGGAATACGCCCCATGGAGAAGGAGAGCGAGGACGTATGTGCGTGTGGCCCTGGCGCGACGGAGGAAGAGGCCCCAGGGAGGAAGAGGACGAGGAGGGGGAGGAAGTGCGTGTTGCCTCGGCGCGAGCGACAGTTCGAGCGTCTGTGCGGGGCGCGACGCTGAACGATCGTCAGCAGAAGCGGCAGGAGCGGCAGCGACCGCACGAACGACAGAGGGGTTATACGCATCATGGGCAGGTGGGGAAGGGCACCAGCATGATGAGACGCATCAGGATGAGGATGCAGATGCGGGTGATGGTGACGATGATGCTGATGACACGTATGATGCTGATGATGAGGATGACGCTGCTGATGATGATGCTGGTAATGTTGGTGGCGATGGTGATGATGCTGATGCTGGTGTTGATGATGATCATGACGATGATGCTTATGATGCTGATGCTGCGGTTGTTGATGAGGATGAAGATGGTGATGATGACGATGATGTTGGTGGTGATGGTGGTGATGGCGATGGTGATGGTGTTGGTAATGGTGATGATGACGATGCTGATGGTGATGCTGATGCTGATGTCGACGGTGATGATGATGCTGTTGTTGAGGTTTCTATTGATGATGATGATGATGATGATGATGATGATGATGATGATGATGATGATGACGATGCACCTGATGATGATGATACTGATGCTGACGATGATGCTGATGATGCTGATGACGATGATATTGATGCAACTGATAGTTATGCTGCTGCTGCTGAAGGTGATTATGATTGTGATGATACTGATGGTGGTCCGATGACGATGACGAGGCTGATGATGCTGATGATGCTGATGATGATGTTTACGATGCTGCTGGTGATACTAATGGTGATGGGGATTATGATGATGCTGATGAGCATGATGATGATGATGCTGATGCTGATGATGATGATGATGATGATGATGATGATGATGATGGTTGTGGTCATGATTTTGTTGCTGATGAGACTGATAATGATGCTGAGTATGATGCTGATGATGATGCTGATGTTGTGAATGCTGGCGATGCTACTAATGAAGCTGTCGATGCTCATGCCAATAATGATGCCATTGCCGACGACGACGAATATTCCGATGATCATGTAGATATTGATGATGAGAAGGAGGAGGAGGAGGAGGAGGAACAGCTAGAGGAGGCGGAGATGACATGGTTCTGGGTACGTGGTTGTTTTGGACGCGCGGGCGCCCGAGTCGCCTGTCAAGGACATGACAGGAGCGCCGATATGGTATGTCGTGTTCGAGGCCTTACCCAGCTTTCTCTGGACACCAAGGGAAAGGGAGCTTGAATAGGGTTGGACTAGGTGTGGTCGGAAGGCAATAACGCATCGCCGATGCATCGGCGAATCAATGCGACCTGGAGCTCGATGTTCTTCAACCCCAACGTCCCCAAACCATCGGTGATGTATCGGTGATGTTGCGCGATTCTCCGACCCTATCTTCTCCAGCCCTGTTTGGGTGGCCTCTACCCGGGGGGGACGACGTTTGAAATAAGCAGCCCGAGCATTCCTTGGTCTCCATTACCATCGTGTTTCTGCATTCTCACGTCCAACATGTCTTGCGCCTGCGTGCTCTCTTCAGGCATCGCTTGGTATCACGTAGCCGCAGTCGTTTCCTAGGGACGGAGCGCGTCATCTTTGATCAAGTGTTGAAGCCTGGAGCGCAGGGATCCTCATATAAAAGGTCGTGCCCCCCCCTCCCCATCGCTACCCCCCTATCGCCCTATCCGCTCACCTCCCCTTAATCCCTCCCCTGCGGTCTGTTCCCTCTTCCCTCCCCCTCCCCTCCCCCTTGCTCCCCCTCCCACTCTTTCCCTCCCTCCTTGCGTTCGCCGCCCGTCGAGGAGATGACATAAGATACAGGAGGAGAGGGCAGGAGGGCGCAGGGAATAGGGGGAGGGAGGCTTGAGTTGAGACTTTAGGGGGGAAAGGCGAAGTGGGGGAGAAGGAGCGGGAGGAGAAGGAGCGGGGGGTGGTGCCTAGGGATCGAGAGGGGGGGACGGGAGGTACCACGGAGGAGGAAGAGCAGAAGGCGGAGCAGGCGCAGGAGAAAGAAGTGAAGGCTTGATGAGGAGAGCAGGAATAGGGAGAGGAAAAGGAAGCGGAGACATGAAGTATCATGATAAAGAGGAGAAGGAAGTGGCGCGTGCCAGCGTGTGTCTCGATTAGATGCCCCACCCGACCGAGCGATCTGTTTTCCGCCTCGAGAGCCCAGTCTGCCGACCGTCCCGTGCTTCGTGATTGTAATGTGGATGGTGTCCTTCCACCGCCAGATGTGCAGCACAGCTTCTGTGAGGTCCTGTGGCCATCGGAGCACTTGCTCGGCATGGGAAGCTGCGTCTCGGACGCCGCTCAGGCGCTACTTGCTACACCCCCACAGTGACAACTCGGACTGCGCCTCAGATTCTTGCTTGCTTGCACGGCTCCTCCCTTGCACACTACTCCGGCAGACCCCGGCGGCTAGCGCGCCCGCGCGCTCACTTTGGAGGCCCTGGACGGCGAGAGGACCGCTGTGCTGGACGAGCTGAGCCAGGCGGGTCCCGTCTGCTGCAGACAGGTGTGTATGCAAGCATTTGTTGTGCGTTCCGTAGGCGCCGAACCTCAAATCTCGGCCGCCGAAGCCCGAATCTCGAAGACATTCAACCTGCTAACATCTCCAATGCAGTCACAAGTGGGTGTTGCGGGATCGCCATCCCTCTGCCTCCGTCCCTCTCTCAACTCCCCTCTCCTCCCTCTGCCTCTTTCTCCGCTCCCCCCCCCATCCCTCCCCTCTCCCTCCTCCCCCCGTCCCCCCTCCCTCCTCCCTCTTCCCTTCTCACTCCTCCCGCCCCCCCCCCTCCTCCCTCCTCCCCTCCTGCTGCTGCTGCTCCGCCAGGTTTTATTTTTCTTCGGCGGGTCGACGTGCGCAGGTCCTGGGGTCCGGTCCCCCGCGCAGCCCCGAAGCTATCCGCAACTCCGCGAGGTTCCCCGCGCCTTGGTGACGCAGCCCAGGGGCTGCGCGCGAGCCACGAAGGGGGGCCTCCATGCGGGCAAGACTTGTGTCCATATCCACTGCAGCTTGGGGTTTCGGGCTCCCTTCCCCGGAAAGCCGAGAAGCACTGGATATGGATAAAAATCAGGCCCCTACTAGAGGCTCGAATTTTAGCCATCTCCCGTGCGCCTCGGCCTTGCGGCGCCGCTTCCACGCTCCAGCGCTCCAGCCTGGTGCCCGCGCGCCCTCCTGGGGCTCGGCGCCGCGAGCAGAGGCGGCGCGCCCCGACTGGACTCGGCGTTCGAGGCCGGACTCGGACGCGGAGCTCGACATCGAGATCGGATCGAATCGGAGCTCGAGATAGCCGTCGGAGTCGGCAATTGGGACTCGCCGTCGCGGCAGCAATCGGAGTCCCACGCCACAATCGTCATCGAATCGAAATCGAGATTCGAGACCGTGATCGAAAATCGGAGTCGGAACTCGAGGCTGGGATCGGGGCGCGAGGTCGAGGTCGGCACCCGAAGCCGCACTCCAAGTCGAGATCGGAGCTCGGAGCTCGAAGCCGAAGCCGAGGTCAAGGCAGGAGGGGAGGAGGGAGGAGGGAGGAAGGGAGGGGGGCAGGGCAAGCTAGGTGCGGTCGCGTCACATCTGACATCCTACCCCTCCCTCCCATCCCTTACCATGGCGCAGATCCCCTCTCTACTCGCACAGTCGGATGTCGAGCAGGGCAATGATCCCGAAAGGGTACGCGATGCATTGTAGAGCTCGGCATGGCATGGCGTAGAAGAGCACCGCGAAGCGTAGTATCAACCTAGCATTGCATTGCATGCCGTGGCATGGCACGGGAAATGACGCCAGCGCTGCAGCGGGAGCACAAGTCGGAACGAGCGGAAGCACGCCGGAATCGGCCCTGGAGGCTTCCCGGGCGCCAGAAGCAGAAATTCAGCATTTTCACAAGAAAAATGTGTATTGGAATGGCCTTTTTTCGGCGCCGCCTCGGAACTCGATTTTCCGGCGCCGGCCGGAACCGGCTCCGGACCCGGCCCGGGCGCCGGCCCGGGCGCCTGCCCGGGCGTCGGAATCGGCCCGGGAGGCATTCAGCATTTTCAAAAGGAAAATGTGTATTGGAATGGCCTTTTTTCGGCGCCGCCTCGGAACTCGATTTTCCGGCGCCGGTCCCGGCCGGAGCGCCGGCCCGGGCGCCAGCTCGGGCGTGCAGCCCAGGCGCCGGCGGAAATGATGCCAGCGCTGCAGCGGGAGCACGATTCGGAACGAGCGGGGCCCGAAAATGAGGCTGGCGCCCAAGCGAGAGCAGCATTTTGGAAACAAATGCAGGCGAAAACCCAACTCCGGGGAAACCTGTGTGTAAAAAAACAGTACGCGGGGGGGGTCGGATATTTTCAAGCCGTCATCAGGGGAAGAGGGAGAGTAGTACTCATATTGAGTAATTGTGGAGGGGGAGGGTGTGTGCGGGAGAGTTGGGTAGGGAGGGGGGAGGTAAGTAGGGCTCGAACTCCAGGCCAAGCCTGCTGCCTGGAGGCAGCCGCCGCGCCCATCCCGCCCCGGCCCCGCGGGCGACCGCTGGCACTTGCTTCTGGAAGCTCGGGAGGAGGGGGGAGGGGGGAGGAGGGGGGGGGAGGGGGGTTGGACAAGCTAGGTGCGCGCGCGTCATATCTGACGTCCTACCCCTCCCTCCCATCCCTTACCATGGCGCTGATTTTCTCTATCCGCGAACTAGTGGGTGGTGGTGCGCGTGCGGTTGGAGGAGGGGGGAGGAGGCAGGCGGGGAGGGTGGGCGGGTGAACGCAGCTTTGAAGCTCAGAAAGCATCCTCGGCGAACAAAGTTCAGCGAGGTGGCGCCCGCACACAAGATAGTGCGCCCACTGACATTCGCACCGCGGCCGCTAATGCGCCCGCTAAAATTAGCGCCGCGACCGCTAACTCGCCCGCTAGATTTCACGCCGCGACCACTCAAGCGCCCACTAAGGTATTAGATGCGAAACGCAACTGCAACATTGAAACGCAGAAAAGCGGACGCGTTAGCGGGTGCATTTGCGGGCGCAATTGGAAGACTAGCGGGCGCGAGAGTGGGCGGGCGCGCGGGGCTGCGGACGCAAAAATCATGGGGCGCATGAGGTTTACGGTGGCGCGGATCGGGCCTCGGCGAAAAATAAAAACGAGCGTCTCTTCAACCGTCTGGCCCCTGGAGGCCCGCTCAGGGCCCAGGGCCTGCGCGGGCCGACCAGCCGCGAGAAATCGCGCGCGCGCGCGCAGCGATTGGGAGCAAAAAGCAATAATTTGAAAAATACGTTTCGAATTTCTGTCGGGCGAGTCTCGAAGTGTCAGTCCCGGGGGGGGGGGGGGGGGGGGCGCTTCGGGCCCCGGCGCCCGCGCAGATCGGCCCGCCACGAGACGTGACATAGAAGGGTGGTGTCATGAATTCCGGCGTTTTTTACGCAGTCTTCCCCGGCGCTCCTGGGCGTTACGCCCCCCATGGCTGTCATTTTCATCGTCGACCCACCCGGAAGTATCTGCCGAAACATTTGCCGAATTGTCCGCCGATCTTTATCGTCGATGGACAGATGTTTGCGCCGCCTAGCCCTGAGCAGCTCCGACACATCAAGAAACGCGACGTCGGAGCCTGGGGCCCTCGACGGTTTTTCCCGACGTGGTTTTTCGGCACGTGCCGATCTGCGCAGCTCCCGGGGCCCGAAACGGGCCTCCGGCGGCCAAAAGTAGAAGAGTCGCCCGCCGAATTCCGCAAACCGCCCGCCGAAATTCGAGAAATCGAGATCGCCGAAGTTCGAAGTTTCGGACTTCGAGCGGTGGTGCAAACTTTTGCCCTCCGGCGGCAGCCCGTCGCGAGCCTCTGATCGGGCGCGCGCAGGAGGGGGGCTGACGCCCAAGCGGGGCTGGCCAAAGTGGCCTCAGTTTGGGCTCCGAGTAATCACCCGGGGGGGAGGCGGGGGGGTGCGCCCCTGATTTCGGAGTTCAAGGTTCGGCCCCGCTCGGTCCCGGCCCCCCTGAGACGAGCGCCCGCCCCCGCGCGGCGCCAAGAGCCCCCAGGGTAGCCCGATAGGGTCACCAGGACCCTCTCCTGATTCAACGTCCTTCTCCCATTTGCTCTCACTGTCCTCCGTCGTCGTCGTCATCGTCCTCCGCATTCCTCCTCCTACTCGCCCTCGTTCTCTTCGTCCTCGCCCTTCTGCTTCTCTTCCTCCTCGTTGTCCTCATGCCCTCCTCGCTATCCTCGCGTTCTCCATGTCGTCCTCGTCATCGCCTCCTCGTCGCCCACGCCTTTCTTTCCTTTGTTCTCCGCACAATAAGCTTATTGGACGAAAGCGGCGCTTCCCGTTCTTGTCCGATCAGGTTTATGGTGATGGATTGTAGCCACTTGTTTTCGAGCAGCAGGTGGCACATCATGGCCATTCAGATGGCACGCACTTGAGCATCACAAGGTGTTGACTTCTGGGGTCAGGCGTGAAAGACATGCGGGCGGTACTCGAGGCACTGGTGGTACCTCATTAACTGGTGGCGTCTGCGGCTCGATGGTACTCGACAAGCAAGTGACACGCTGGGCGCTGGTGGCACATGATGGTCAGGTGCCCGAGCATCACCTGGCATCTGAAGCCCAAAGGAAACGATGTCAGCACGTGAGGCCTCATCAGTGGGTGGTACTGTAGGCCAGCGCACTAGCTACACAACAGACTGGTGTCAGCCTGCCGGTGTGTGTGTGTGTGTGTGCGGCTTCCGTGCTGGTGGTACTTGGGCAGTAGTGGTTCACGGACATCGGGTGGTATGCAATAGGCAGACAGTGGGCGGGAACCGTGTTATCCCGAGCGGAGAGAGCCCAGCGCCAAGACGAGGCGCATGGTCGTCAGTGGTCAGCATTGGCGGCCACTTGCCACGCGCCGCTCTGACACGGCCAGGCAGGAGGCCGACGGCCAGAGCCGCTCCAACTGAAGCGTTCCCAGATCTTTCTCGTGGCGATGTTGGGCCCGCGGGCGCTGGGAAGCCCAAAGACAGGAGGGCTCCACAGTCGGCCAGGCCGGTCGATATCAGCAGCAAGCAGTGGCCTCACGGCACCAACACCGCCGCGTCGGCGGGTGCCGCTCATGTGCGACCCATGGAGTTTTTCTTCAAGTTGTTGCTTCGAGTAATTTGTCATCATCGTTCAGGCATTCGATGGTCGTGTTCGTGGTTGATGCTACCCTTGAGTGATTTATGTGCATGTCTACCGATTGCCACGAACAAATTCCCAGTGACTCTAGATCTGTAGACGCTTGACATCGTCCAGTGCTCCTCTCTCCAGGGCGAGGGAGCTTCGACTGCCTGCGAGCCCGTTCGCCCTCTCTACCCTAGTCCTTCTCGCTCTCTCTCTCTCTCTCTCTCTCTCTCTCTTTCCCTCTCGCGCATCGCATGATGGCGATGGTTTTATTTTGAGGATCAGGACCTGCTGGGACGACCCAGTGGACGGATCGAAACTTAGTTAGCGACGTGGGGGAGGGATGAGCGGAAAATGGGATAGGACAGGATGCCATATATGGCGCCAGCACGTCTAGCTTGCCCCCTCTCCTCCTCTCTCCCTTCCCCCCCTCTCCTTCCCTACTCCTCATCTCCTACCCTCTCCTCTGTTCCCCCCCCCTTCCCCCCTTCCCTGCCCCAGCCCCCCTTCCCCGCCTCTCCCTTTCCTCCTCGCCTCCCTTTCTCAAATCCTCTTGTCCGAAGGCGGTCGGTCATCCAGGTAACCCTCTCTTCCCTTCGCCCCTCCTTCGCCCGCTCTTCCCTCTCATTATTCCCTCTCCCTTCCCCCTTCGTGTCGCCCCTTCCCTTTCGCATTCGTCCTCCCAACAATCCCTTCCCCCCGCGTTCCGCTCCCCTTTTGTGCCCTTCATTTTCCGCCCTACCCACCGTCCCCATTCCTTCCCATTTCTCCTCACCCCCTCAGCTTCTCTCCCCCCGCTCCCCTTTTATTATTTTTTTCCTGGCCCTTCCCACTTATTTGCTGTGATTACCGAGAGGGAGGTTGAATTTAGCATCGGCGCCAGCTCAATCCGGCCGAATCCCGCCGAAGGCGGCTCAATCCCTGGCATAGTCTGGCTTGCTGGCCGCTGAATCGGGCTAAGTCGCCCCTAACCGTCCCCACGAAGACCTTCCAGGAGATGCCTCCTCACGTCTGCTCCCCTCTTCGCCTTCCCCATCCGCCTAATCATCCTCGCCCTCCTCGAAGTGCGTCCCCCCCGGCGTACAGCTCGGCTGCATCCGCGGCAATCTGGAGCGGTCCTACTCGCCCAGAGACGAGATCGTGTTCCGGGCCCCGCCGCTGCGGTACCGGGGTCCCCGAGCCGGACGCCAGAGTTGTTAGTTACATGTCCACCGCTTGGGGAACCCATCTCCCGTGGACCTCGGGATGCAGTCGATGTTGATATTTTTGGGCCATCCTGCGGCCCGAATGCATCCACATCCGCCGCATCTTGTTTCTTCTGGCCTTGGGACATTGTTTTCTGGGACGGTGGACGTGTGCGAATCCCAGCCTTCTCATCAGGGGGTACTCGCGACGAAGACTACTTATTAGCCGATTGAGACGGGGGGGGGCGCTCCCAGATAATGACACATCAGTCCTTAGGGAGAGGGGGTCTCGAATGTGTTTTGCTGATTGGTCCCCCTGGGCCCCTGGGGTTCCTCACTGGGCCCTGGGCCCGTCCCAAAGCTTCTATGGATGCAGCGACTTGTTTGGGGGGAAGCACCGGGGTCCGCAACACGTTTCCCTCAGGACACGTCTCCCCCATGCCAATCAGGGGTGGCATGCGCGATGCGAAGTATGAACCGATCGGCACGGAAAGCCCGGTCCCCTCACTCTCCCACCAGACCGTTCAGGACAGGTGTGGAAATCCCGTCCCTACTAAGAATCGCCGTGGATGTGGGGCGACGGCTTCTTTCCAAACCAGTGCTGAACGGCCAGGTGGTGGCGGTTGGGGCCAGTTTCGATGGTTAAACAATGGGGGACATCCTTGCCACCTACCTGCAATTGCGCGAAAATTATTCAACGTGAAATTTGCTCGATTGTGGTTGCGTTCTTCGCCGAAGTGCTGCTTGGATGATTGGGGGTTCCAGCGCAGTCACAAGAAATCCGCGCGGAGCTCCGAACGTGCATGATTCCTGTAGTTGTTATTTTCGGTATTGTAGTATTCAGATTTGTTTCCGGGCGTATCCTGAATTTGACTGAATTGGCCAGGTCTCACTCATTGACAGGTGGTTGTTAGCTTCGGCGTCCGAGGGCGTATACTATTGTCCAGCCAGTCGCTGAAGCCCGTTCTGATAAGTCTCGGCGGCCTCAACGGCCACCTCTGGCAGGACGCTGAAAGATTCGGCGGCCGAGGATGCGACCTACAGAGCAGGTGAAGGCAGGACGTTCTTTGGTCTTCGGCGGGCGAGGGTACGACCCATGGCGCAACGCATGGCAGGACGTTGTGTGTTTCGATGGCCGAGGCTCCAAAGGGGAACTATCGTGTGGTCGTTGCTTGGCGCTCGTGTCGGTGCTCGTCGCGCAGCAGCATTGAGCAATATGTCTTATCTTCTCCGCGCGGAATGATGGGCTCACGCACCATTAAGTTTCGTGTCCTTACATGGATCATGTTCGTAAAGCATGGGTGCATGGCCACGGTCACGCACATGTTGGACATCTTTGCAGCCCGTTGCGCAGCTTGGGTCCGATTCGGTGCAGGGATAGCCGAGGAACAGTGGGAAGAGCGGAAGAAGAAGGAGGAGAAGAAGCAGGACGAGAGCGAAGAAAGACCTTTCAGAGGCCGTGGGCAGACCGCCCCGCGACCTCTCCTTCACGTCTGCAGTGCAAGCGTGGCGGCTGGCGTCGGGCCCGAGCATGCTGACCAGATGTTGCCCAAGGCTCGACCGCCTCGCACCTCGCAAGTTGGCTCACCAGGCACAGTAGGCTGACGGTTGCTGCTGTCCGCTGCCATTGCGGCTTCTTGGCGTCATTTAGGTCGGAGATTGCCAGGAGTTGCCGTTGGTTGCCACCGCTGGCCGCGCTGCGAGAGCCGCCAAGCCGAGGCTGATCCGCAGCTGGCGCTGTCCTGCCATAGAGCGGCACGCAGCCGCCGCAAGCTCCGAGCCATTCTCTGCGCACGGCTCGCCCTCTGGTGATTGCTCCTTATGTTCCTTGATTTTCTTCAGGTGCGTCTCTTCCTCAGTGCAGTACTTCACGAGCTGGCCGCGTTTCCGTGCCGTCGGTTTCCACCACTTTGACCGCCGCTGTCGTCGAGCTTCGGGAAGGGGGTAACCTGTTGCATGCTCTCTGGGACCATTCTGCTCGTTCAGGTCGTCTGCACACAGTCTTCTGGAGACGACTACCTGACGAGGATGCCGTTCCTGCGTCCCATATCCCAGTTTCTCAGCCTCCGTCGGATCGTCGTGCTGCGTTGCGGCGCCGTCCTCCTCGAGGCTGTACTGCGCCGCGCTGATGGCCTTGACCTCGGCGGGGTCCATCGCGGTCTTCTCGATGTCGTCCTCGATGGTCTCCGCTTGCTGTACCTCGCGGTAGGGTGTTTGTGCGGCCCCCCACCGCGGCAGGACCTGCAGCACATCGCCGTTGCTCACCTCCGTGGCGCAGCTGAACTGGGGACTGCCCTGGTTGCCCTTTCCGCTCTGCTGGTCGCCCTCGGCCAGCGAAAGGTCGGTGATGCTCAACGCGGTCTTCTCGAGGTCGTCCTTTCTGGTCTCCGTTGTTCTCGTCGTGCCGCCTTTTGGCACCTGGCCCTTCCGAGGCGTGTTCCTTGGCCGCCAGCGCCGCGGAGGATGTGCGCTTGCAGCGTGACATCATTGTGGGCGACCCCAGTGTACTTCTGACTGAGGCGGCTCGCGAGGTCGGGGCGTCTAGCGTCGCGGAAGCTTGCCTCCGCCTCCTGGAACCCCGGCACGCCCATGTCTGCCAAGATCCGCTGCAGCCTATCGAGCACTTCGACTTCTTTCTCCGCGCAGCTGTCCCTGCCGAGTTGGCCCTCAGCGTTGCTCAGGCAGCTCCCGCAGCCGCCCCCTGGGCGGCGCCTCGGGTAGCGGCCGCAACTGCCGCAGCCGTCGGCGTGGTTACCTGCAGGCCGAGGACGATGGTCGCCATCGCCGCCCCGAAGGCCGCCTGGGCGACTGGCGACTGGCAACCCCGCCATCCGCGCCCCTGGGTCGTCGGACCCCATCGTGCCTGGAATGTCGCCCGCGGGCGGCCGGCGGCGACCTGCCCAGCGCCCGCTAGGCATGAACTAATAGTGGCGACGGAGAGATGCAGGATGCACAGGAGGTGGGGGAGCAGCAGCATAACGGAGGAGGAGACGAGGAGGGGGGTCCGGATCCGCCAGGTTCGGCAGAGGGGCGAACGCCTCGGTGAGCCGAATGTACCACAGGGGCCTCGCCCAGGTGTGGGTGCGCCGCGCCAACTGGAGGGCGAGGAGTGGGAGGAAGACGAGGACTCGTCCTCATCCACCGCATCCTCTTCCCCGTCCTCCCTCATCCGCGTCTTCTGTCCCGACGGATGTTCTATGTCCGATGTTATTGTTGGCGCGATCGCAAGCAATCTACATGGCGGCCAGCTTGAACAACGCATGTGAGTGCGTCAGGCTTCCATGGTGGCCATGGCAGGCAACATTCACATACCAGCACGCGTTGGCGTTCTGCACAGGGTTCTCCAATCCCTAACCGCGCTGTGCGGTCGTCCCTTGGGGGGGGAAACACCCGGGAGAGGGGACGACAAGCGAGAAAGGTATCAACAAAGGCACCGACCGACAGAAGGGCAACGCACGAGGGCACACAAAAACAGTGTACACGTATGCCATAAGATGTTTGAGCTCCATAGCCGATAGGCCTCACAAGGGGTCGGCCTGCAATTTCGTATGGGGTGTTTTGTTGCACGTAACCTGATCACACGTCGGTTCACTTCGCGACGAGTGGCGAGTACATTCATGGCGCATGTTCATAGGTCCCCCTCCCCGATCTCCCTACCCCCACCCCCACCCACCCCGACCACCCATACTCCTCCCTCGCACCACTCCCTCCCTCCCTTCTGTCCCCTTTCTGCTCTCTTCCCCGCATTCTTCTCAGAATAATCGTTTGGGGATCTGACACACTCGATAGACTTTGCGCGAAAGGACTGACTTTGACAAGGTTTTTGGGGTGCCGAAGGCGTCGCGGACATAGTCACCATGTCTGGGTTGTGAGTCAGGAGCTGCTTGGAGGCATATGAGGGTCTCTCCATATTCCTCTGACGGGCATCTTGGAGGGCCCTTGGGGGCATGTGGGGTGGGCCATCATGAGACCATCTTAGGCCGTCTTGGGTGCATCTTGGGCCCTCTTGGAGGCATCTTGCGGCCATCTTGGGTTTTCTTGGGGCCATCTTGGCCGTCGTTGGATGCCAAGTTAACCAACTATAGGGGGCCAAGTTGGGGCTATCGTAGACAAATTTTCGGGGTGGCCAGCGGGTTGGGCCGAAGGCCATTGGGAAGCGTGCAAGGGGACCGAATCCATTCCAACATTCGGCACGCCGTGCACCCCCGTATCAAGCACAGGGCACGGCGGATGTAATGGCCTTCGGTCCATCCCGCCACCGTGTTTGGGTTGTGGGCCATTTGGGGGGCCCTTGGGCTCCTCTTGGGCTCCTCTTGGGCGCCCACTGTGCATCTGGGGGCCGTTTGGAGGCCTTCGGGAGCTTTCCTGGAGCCGCCTGGGCGCCTCGGCCTCTTGGTGGTCTCGGGGGCCATCCTGGCACTCGAGGGCTCCCAGGGCCCGTTCGTGACCTCCTTCAGCGTAGCAAAACGTTGACAAACCCAGGTTGCTCAATGATGTCGCTACCTCCCTGGAAGATTCACGCAGGGCGCCCCCGAACGCGCCCAAGAGCGCCCAGAACTCCTGGGTCTAGGCCCCCGACCCTTAAACAAGAGCATTCCAAGACAAACACATCGGGGACTCGAAGGGGCCTGAGGACTCTTCGCTCAGTACCTCGCAGTACGTTGGCGGATCTCTCTCATCATTTCTTGTTTATATATTCCCGCGGTTGTCGTTACTCATTATCGTCCTTCTTCTCTACCTCCTCTTCCTCCGCATCCTGCCCCCCTCTCTCTTGCCGCGGGGGGGGGGCGCGGTAGAAATTATTATGGTGAGGTGGTGGCGGTGAAGAAGATGAATTCGATGATGGAGCTGGACGCGATCGAGCGAGAATTGGCGACATTGTTACAGGTTGCGAGTTGCGTTTCGTATGTTTTCTCGCTACCTCATTGTTCGTCCTCCCATGCATCTGCACGATATGAACTTCCCCTTCTCACTTCTCGTCGCACTGCTTCTAACGCCGCTGTTGCTATTGCCACTCCTCCTGCACTCTATCGGGACACAGGCTGCAGCCTGCATTGCAAGGATGCGGAGAAGCATGGAGCGCCTTTGGAATGGATATTCCCTCCCTCGCCGTCCTCTAAGAGGAAGTGCGAGAAACATAATGGGTCGTCGACAGAGGGGCAAGGAGGGTACCAAGAGACGCGATCTATCTTAACGAATGGTAGGCAGTGGGCGATCGCCGATGGGATGGGAGGGAATACGAGGGGATGGTGGCGGCTGGGAGTGGAAGGGAGGAGGAGGAGGGGACCCGGGGGGGGGGCAAGGAGAGCGGCGTGTCAACGGGGGAGGGCATAGGACGTCAGCAATAACCAGGGAGGCCCCATCCCCGTCCTCAGGTGACCATGCGGGCAGCGGCGGAGTCAGCCCGCCCGACAGGCATCTCGAAATTTAGCGTTCTGTTCACAGATGATTTGAATTTCCGCCGCCCTTCGCCACGCATGCTATTCGGCACTTTGACACTGTGCAGAGAAGCGGATTGTACCACGGCTCACGCCGTCCACATCTGGGGCAACATACCACCCGTTCGCGAGCCACGTTGCAGCATGGCAGCCTTGCTATTTTATGTTCTGCCAGTGAGCCCAGTCTTTTGGGGGACCTGCATGCGCTCATCTGCCGCTGGAGCGGCACTAAGGCGTACACCATCGAGAACATTTGTGGTATTTACCACGCGCCCCAGCTTGCCGCCCATTGCCAGACGGCCTGTCCCTGCCCATCGAGTCTCTGCGGGGTTGCCCTCCCGACAGCGGGCCCGCTCATACTCGACCAGCGCCAGGGCGCGCATGCACGCCATGGCAGGAGGAGGAGGCAGCCTGATACAGAGTCGTTTTTTTTAGTCCCCATCCTATCCATGTTTGTCTAATGCCTGTGGCTCCTCTAAAATGTTTGTTCCCTCATCTTACTCTTTTTACTCCTCTGCTCGAGCTCTAAGCCCAACAGCTGTCCAAGAGCATTCGTGCACTGACGCGTGCCCTCGGGCAGGATAGGCGACTGGCTCTACTGGACTTTGGCTTTTGTTGGTTCCATACATGTATATGTATATGTCTACATGTGTATATATATATATATATGCAAGTACATATATACATATATGCATATACATATATACATATATGCATATATTTATATACATACATATATATACCAGTTGTAGCTTGTAGTTTCCAGTGTTACAGTTCTGCTTCTTGCTGGTTACTGTAACTAGTTGATATATAGTATCCTTGCTCGAAGCTCTTCATTTCCTTCCTCTGCTTGGGCCCAGCGCCTCTTCCTCGGCTTGTCCAAGGGGCGCCGAAGTGGGCGCGGCCCACAAGTCTCAGGTACCTATTCTGTCTCCATCTTGGCACTGAGTGTCAGGGTTCCAGCTGTCACTAGTGCTAGCTTCAGCGGCACGCAGGTGCAGTGCCAGTGACGAGTCATCATGCCCTTATGCCTCCCTCCCTCCTCCTCCTCGAGGGAAACTCGGCGCCCGATGGCTCCAAGCCGTAGCTCGGGGCGGGCCGGCGGGGAGGCGGCCGGGCGCGGCGTGCCGAGGTGCAGCTGCACCCGAACGTGATCGGGTGCCACGGCATTTTCTGGAGCGTGGAGGCGCCCCGGGGAGGAGGCGGAGAAGGGAGATGACGCCTCCCGGCCGCGCATGACGCGGCGCCAGTTGTTCGGTGCGATCCACGTGATGCAGGCTGCAGTGTGTGCGCACATAGCAGCGCGCCAGCCCGCGAATCTAGTCACGGGCGGGAAGCGGGCAAGACCCCGGAACGCCCAGCCGGCGCACGGAGCGGGCACGAGGCGGGCATCGGCGGGTACAGCCGATAACCGAGGAAGCCCGATGAGCGCACGGAGTGGACGTGAGGAGGGCACGGGCGGGCACCGAGCGAAACCTTTGCAAGCCAAGCCAGCGCACCGAGCGGGCACGAGGTGGGCGGGTGATCACCCGGCGAAGCTCTGGAGAACCCACCCAATTAGTCACAACCGAAACAAGAACCGCTTAGGATGCCAATGCAACAGCGGCCAGGTCGCTGGTTGGTGGGCCCCAAGTATGCGACGGGGCGGGTTGTGGGTGGTTCGCGTGGCAGTTCGCTGGCGGATCGTGAGGCAGGCCGCGGTTTGGTCACAGGGCGGCACGCGGAGCGGCTCGTTTTGCGGGTCTCGGGGCGGGTATCGGGCGGGTCGCGGGGCGACGGCGACCATGGCAATTATTTTTACTGCAGCCACGCACCGCGGGACAGAGTAAGACTGGGCGGTTCCTAAATCTAATGGTTTGATTCATTCCCCTGCTTCGCCCTCCGCCGCCAGCGTCTCCTCAGATAACTTTCGTGGTCACACTTGGTCGGTATGTTGGTTGGAGTTCTTGTCGGTGGGTTGGCTGTCAACTCGGCTGAGTTGATTTGGGCTGTTTGCTGGCTGGCTGGTCGCGTCCGCTTGTAAAAGCTAATGAAGGACGGTGGCCTCGGGAGCGAGTTTGCTGCAATTTGCGAGGGTTGGTACCTTCGGGAGCGCGCTCCCCTAGCTATTGTCGAGAGTTTGTGGCCTCTAGTCCAGAGCCGAATTCTGAGGAAACGACGGGGGAGCCGAAACGCGCCCCCCGAACACATATCCCAAAACAGGATAACAGTCGTTTTGGGTGTCCTTTTTGGGCACTCTCCGTTGAGTGGGCTCGTGGCCTCGGGGACATAAGTTTGCAATGATTCTCGAGGCTTCGCGCAACCCCACCAGCCCATACAAAAACAAAGTCCAGGGGGTCTGCCCTGATCGGGGATGTGGGGGGACATGCAATGGAACGAAGGGCCGGGGAAGCTACCATACGGAGGATGGAAGAGGGGAGACGGAGGAGGGATAGGCGCCGGAGGAGGAGAAGGATGTGGGCGAGCAGAAGGGCCAGATGCCTCTTGGATGCCTCTTGAGGCGGCTTGGGGGTCTCTTGGCGGTCCCAGGGGGCTTTTCGGGCGTCTTGGGTGCGTCAGGGGGGGCCTTTTGGGGGCCGCTCGGAAGCCTGTTGGGGGCGTCTTGGAGGCATTTCGGGGCCGCTTGGGCGCCGCGTGGGGCCATCTTGGGGCGATCTTGAGGATATCTTGGGGCCCTCTTGGGGCGATCTTGGGAGCCTTGGAGGCAGTCTTGGGGCGATCTTGGAGGATATCTTGGTCCGTAGCCTCGCCCCGCTGGAGCTCCCATTGGGGCCCTGCTCGGAACACTCTTGGGGCGCTCTGGGCGCTCCTCGGGCCATCTTGGGCCTTTCCTGGGACCCTTCTTGGAGCCGTACTGAGGCCTCGGGAGCCCATCGTAAGCAAAAGGGCGAGACGGCCACACTCATGGACTTCTCATCGCATTTGGGCGCATTCGGGCTCCTCGGGGTCCACTTTGGCAGTCTTCGCTGCCACTTCAAGCCATCATTGGGCCTCTTGGAGGCCATCTTGAGCCAGCTTGGACATTATTGCGCCATCTTCTGGGCCATCTTCAAGCATCTGGGGCCCCCTCGGAGCCCTCTTGGTGCAACGTTCTTCAACGCCCTTGTGTTGTTCAGCGTTTTTTTGTTGATCAAAGAGTTCGAGTACTAAATTCGCGTCGCCCCTCTGGGACCCCCAGCTAGCATCGCGTGGCCCTCCTAGGGCGCTCTTGGGGCGCTCTTTGGTGCTCTCGAAGCCGCCTTGGGGCCGAGTTGTTCCCTTCCCTTCTTCGAAGGCCAAGACAGCAGGTTCTCAGAGCCTGGCTTGACATCTTCTGGAAATTTTGGTGTGTAGGTAGGAGTCCCAGAATACAGCCAGACACAGTGGATATTTGCATTCAAGAGGTACACGTGGTGCTCTCGCACAGTCGGGCACTGAGGTGTCGTTCGTGACAGCGTCGGCCTGCCCCGTGCGGTTGGTTGAGGCAGGTCCTGAAGAGGATCGCCAACCACTCGCCGAAACGCTGGAGACGGACTGGACCAGGGGTGCCCGAAAGAGCGGGCACACTCACTCTAAAGTGAGCTGAGGGACGTAAGGGGCGGAAGCGAGCGTGCGCCCGCGGCCGTATTGGTTCAAGCGGCCGGCCGCCTAGATTTGATTGTGCCTCATCGCGAGGCACACGATCGCTATCGATACTAAAAGGCATCCCCTTTTACTTGACATGGCTTCCCCTCTTGTATTGGGACTATCGCTACCACGATACAACCGAACCGAAGCTTGGCTTCGCCTGAGGCGAAGCTGTTGGCGGGGCCTCCCAGCCCCCTCTCAAACTTGGTAGCGGAGCTGGCCTATGGTGGTCAGCCCTAGCTCTACTCCTCACCATCCACGGCACTATCTGGTGGACTACATTTACGGTGGAACATCAGGGTGCAGTGGCATTGCGCGGAGGAGTGTACAAATATACGCAGTACCGCAAGGAAACTTGCAGCGACACCTCTGCTCCAGCGGAGGTTTCCCACTCCTATTCTACATCCCTGCGCTATTACACTCCTGAAGTCCACCCACCTACTCCAATTGGAATTTCTTCGAAGATATAATGCATGGAAACATGCGATACGATATACTGCGGCCTCCGACACCTCACAGACTCACGACGACAAAACACGAGTCTCCACCGACTACACCCGATTACGGCCTACGAGGCCATTGGATTGGGATTACTACCTTGGGGTCATCTGGGTCGCTTTTGGATGTGCGGTGGGACATATGCGGGGCGGAGACGACGCTAGGACGACCGGCCCCCATTGGGACCTTGCCGGTCAAGTACCATTGCGCGAGTTTGTTCGCGAGGTGCACGCCTGGATCAACGTGACCACAGGCAGCGCGACTCCTTCCCAGCAGGCCGCCGCGCCCCAGCGCGGTTTCGGAGGGCTCGCACGGGCCATAGCCATGAGTGTTCTCCCAGTAGTCATCAATTCGGGCGTCAACATAGGCGGTCGCCTCACCGATGGCGCCACTTACATTGTGTTCCTCTTAAGGACGAAGTTCGAGAACCTAGAAGAGGAACGCCAACTCAACTCTGCCACGGCTCTCATTGACTTTCGTGTCCATGCAGGAGAAAGAATCGACCAGTCGTTAGCGCGGTTCGAGATTGCCCGCTACGAAGCAGAAGCCGCCGGCTTCAACATCCCCAGTTTCCAGATATTAGCAGTTATATCATTCAGAGGTCTGGGGGCGGGGGCGTCGCGGGCACAGCAGCTCCTGCGGCCTCTGAACCACCATATGCCTAGGGACCAAGCACAATTTGATGCTCTCCTCGAGCGTATGAGGTCATGTGCTCACATAGCCGAGAGAACCCCCGGCAATACCGGTGGTATGTTTAGTCGTGGTCGCCGAACCGAGACCTTTCATACAGAGGCCAATGCAGGGCAACCTGCTGACGACGTCTGGAGCGATGATATGCCGCCGTCGGAGACCACTACATTGTTGGCCCAGAATGGCGGCACGGCCTCGGGGTCTCAAGACCCCTGGGCCAGATCTAGGGGGCCGCCCGACGCGGTCTCCCTTGTGCTAGCTATGACCCTAATGGGCTCTGCGGGGCAACCCGCCGAGTCCGAATTCGACTCCGGAACCGACGCCGATGCGTCTTTTGATGAAACTACTGCGCTGGATTGCTCTGATATGCCGACCTACCTTACTGAAGAGCAGCAAGTTCAGTGGTTCTTTTTGGCCTATCAAAAACACGAGCGTCGTTGGCGGAGACGCACGCAGACGCCGGTCAGAAAAGGTAAGACGCATGGCACGGCGGGCGCTCAAAAGAAAAGGCAAGGGCCGAAGCAAAGGCAAAGGTGAGAGTCGGCGACTACACGGTAGAGGCATACTAGCATTCCTAGCATCTCTCACTGGGTCCAGCATGGAGAAGATTTTCCAGGTGCTGGCAAGGAACCGTAGGCATGCGTCAGGTAAAGGTAGAGGACGACGAGGGAATCCAAAGGATGCCAACGGCAAAACTATGGAGTGCGACACATGCCACAGTGCACAATATTTCCGACGCGAATGCCCCCAAGGCGATGGAAGAGGCAGGGGTCCGTCAATAAATTTGGCCCAAACGGACTCCGACATGCAGTGCGTCGACTGGGGAGAAACTTCTGGCCGTTTCGCTGACGGCTCAGCCACAGTTTTTTATTTCATGGCTGCCAGGCATTTGTGCGCCAGCATGAACCTCGAGAATTACGCCGACGAGCTGTTCGAAGAGGTGTTCGCTGGGCACGGCGACATCGACTTGGCAGAGTGGCCGGGTCTACCCATCGCGGGGCAACCTGCAGATATTGAGTTTGTCGAGAACTTCCTCGCGCCCGTCGAAGGTGACTTCGGTGTGGCGGGGCACCCGCGGACTCTGAGTCTACTATTCCTGGAACGGATGAAGAAGTTCATGCCATGCTCTATCCTCGGGTGATGAGAAATCCGACGAACATGGAACCGATCGATGTTGATAGATTGCAGGGGAACCCGCGAGACGCTGGTGACCTATCCGAACGCATTCAATATGAGCTTGGACACAATGAAGAATTTCAGTGCACTTCTGTTGCGTCAGACCGGTCTGCGAGCAGTCCGAGGCAATCGCCGCGTCGTGTACTTCTCTTAAGGAAAGAGAAATATCACTGCGATCCAAGTCATTCGCCAATGGGCGACGAAAACGACTGGGAT